CTCATGACCATAACTATAATTAATCTGAAAAAAAGTTGTGAAAGAATTGAATTGGACCATGCATTGAAGAGACCACCCAGACGTAAACTGCATACAACAACATTATTGTAAAGGACAAATTTGTACACATCTTTGTGTCACTATCTTTGTGTTTTCTATGTAAAAGCAATAATCACGTTTTTATGTTGTTTTCTATTTAAAATATCTGAATTTACGACCTAATTTGGACCGACCTCTCATTTCTTGTATAAGAAGGGTACTATCTTTGTGTTTCTTGATGGAAGCATACATATAAGAAAAGGATGCCACAGACGGACAGCTTACCTCATTTATTATGCTCATAATTTTTGGTCCTTTTAATTTCGAATGGAAGGTCTTGTCTCTAAAAAAGTCTTTAGAATTTGGAGACAGAGACCACTGTGCCAGAATCCTTGTAGCATCTAAAATTTGGTTACTTTTATTTTTATTTGTATTTTGATACAAGTGATGTCAAAATCTGCGTCTGCTAAACTCTGCAGGAAATGTGGCCACAGTGCCAGAATCCTTGTAGCATCTAAAATTTGGTGACCCAATTTTACATTTTTTTGTTACATTGGAGGGAATCGAACCTGGGCTTGTCCTAATCCGAACCCCAGTTTCACATATTATGGAGATCCTTTTTCCTTGTTTCACTATGTTCACTATAGTGCAAATTCTGTTAATAGGGTAACATGTCATTAAGTAACAACCCGCGGCTTCATGAAGTTTTAAGTATTGGAGCAGATGATAGAAGAGCATTGAGCACTGCATAAAACTGAGAAGAAGGCTAGAATAGATGAGCAACGTAATAGACAACCCACAAATAGGAGAAAACCGAGTGTCTTTTGATTCAGAATTGGAAGGGCTTAATTATTGATTGGCCCTATCAAACTCAATTTGTGTAATTTTACCTCCTGAAACTCAATTTGTGTTTAATTCAATGTCTATTAATTATTGTTTTTAGATAAAAACAAATGTTTATTGATTTGTTACTCTTCAATCTTATCCATTGTTCAATCTCCCTCTCTACCCCTTACCCACATAAAAAAGTCTTTCTTTTTTTTTATTTTGTCAACGTAAAAAGTCTTATAGTTATTTTTATCAATTGACAGATATGAAATGGCAGATGGTAAACTGAGTCCATAATATGTTGAAAAACACAAGGCCAAATCGCAATTTTCTTTTTCAAGGACATTGCCATTCTCATGTTAATGTTATGAGTCTTTTGGCTGTACAACAAATGTTCCGGTCTATCATACTTTATTAATTCGCTCGGTTCAGATTACCCACCAAGTAAAAGCAGACTCCCAAAGAAAGGACAAGCTTCATACACATGCACCTTGTTTCACATCTTATATTACAAGATTGTTAGTTTAAGTAACTGTTTTTTCATGAATTTTGTCAAAAACAAATACGCGCAATTTAGATTAATAATTTCGCATCATAACATATCAGATATGTAACAAGATGTAATTCGAGACTTCAATAAAGGGGTCGCAACCTACACTCTTTGTTTTTTTTTCTTTCCAAACACAGTTTACCACTCTGATAATCATATCAAAGTAAACACTTAAGTAGTGCTTCAATCTACCCAGTTCAATAAGACTATAACAATGTGGTTTGCTGGCAATTTCACTAGAGTGATCTTTTTTTCTTTTTCTTTTTTTTTCCGGTGAACTGGGAGGGAAGAACCCCAAGCAACTAAACTACATAAAATCATCACAAACAAGATGGGGAAAAGACACCCCAATCAAGTCGTCAATAACTAAAGAACGTATCCAACTTAGAGCAAAATCAAAATAACACACGCCAAGACCCATGTTATAGTTCCAGTTAGCTAATCCTTCTGCGACACAATTCAAGGTTAATAGGTTAATAGGTTATGCGATTGTATGAACTTGGACAGGAGTTCCATAAAGCCTTTGCATCAATTCGTCTTCAAACAAGTTGTCTTCAGTATAGAACCCGTCTCTCTTTCTCTCACAAATATCACACAAACCCATCAAACCCTCCACCCCCATGACATAGCGCCACGTGTCATTGCATTTTTTCATCAAATTGTGAACACTTTACGGTATTGCCAAGTACTAGTTTAAATTCATGGCTACCACCACTTTATATGCATGTGTAATCTTCTTTATATCTAAGTTGTGACTTTTGTTGCAGGTAGGAATTCTTTTATTTGGATGGGTCCCATGAATCCAAAAGATCTGAAAGATGCCTTCAACAGATCTATGAATTTGAGAGGGCAACTCAAATTTAGAGAAGCTAAAGATATTGCGTCTTCTTTTAAGTTTATCCAACCTCAGAACTTTTTCCTGTCTCCCACACACAGGAACTAGAAAATCTAAAAAATTTCCCACTCTCAGATTATTATTCCTTTCTTAAATTTTTACCTCCATCCTAGAATGTAGAGACTTTGTGCAGCTTTTTTTTGGTCCAAAGGGAAACTTCATCGAAGGGAAAACAACCCAAAAGGAACAGAAACAAGGAAAGAAGGAGATTAACATGGGGGGCAAGGCAGACCATCCGATTGAAGAACAAACACAAGGGAAGAAGGGGGTATGTCAAGCCAAACCTTATCGCACTTTTTGCTTCCTCTCTGAGTAATTGAAATATTTTCTTTCCTCTTCATAGCAGTTCGAGAAAACACATTGCTAGTTAAATTTTCAAGATAAGGTCACACATCCAGTTCACATGAACCCTCGTTGAACACCAAGCTCTCCCATTGGTTAATCATCTCGCTACAACTTTACCACAGAGTCTTTTTTTTTTTTTATCAAGAACTTTACCACAGAGTCTAGTTTACGTCAACAGTTGCCTCATCCCTCAACACCCAACCCCTTGCTCCAGCCATACAATTGGCACTCCAAGCACCATTATAAATAAGTTTGAGAAATCCCAGTGGAGGTTTTGTCCAGCCACTAGCTATCACCTACGGCTTTGCCCTCCCATCATAGCAAGAGAGGCTACGTGAGGAGGATGAGAGAGCTAGAACATAAGTTAACTACATGATGGAGGGCAATGAAGTTGAGAGCTCAAATAATTTTCACATAGCCATGTTCCCATTCTTTTCAATGGGACACATGATTCCTTTCCTCCACCTGTCTAATGAGCTGGCTGCTAGAGGCCATAGAATCTCTTTCTTGACACCGAAAAAAGCTCAAATTCAGCTACAACATCTCAATCTCCACCCAGACCTAATCACATTGTGTCCCATCACTATCCCTCACATTGAAGGCCTCCCTAAGGGCGTTGAGTTTGCCTCTGAGGTCCCGACACCTTTGATCCATTTGTTCTGTGGTGCGGTGGATCAAACCCGTGACCAAATCCAAGCAATCCTAAAAGCCAATCTCCTCAACCATAAGATCGACATGATTTTCTACTACTTTGTTCATTGGGTACCAGAAATCACAAGGAAACTTGGGGTTGGGATCAAATCTATTTACTACATCACTACAGCTGCAGCTGTGCATGCGTTCTCTGTTGTGCCAGCTCGAAATTACAGCCCTAGCCTTACTGGTATTATTATTGAGGAACAACTACGCGACCTACCTCCTGGATACCCATCACAAAATGTGGTGCTGCTTCCTGGTCGTGAAATTCGCTCCATGTTAGTGTTTTGGAAGTCGTTTGGATTAGATGGGCTCACACTTTACCAAAGGTTCACAAAGGCCATCACAGAAAGTGATGCGTTTTGCATAAGAACGTGTAGAGAAATCGAAGGTCATTTCTGCGATTACCTGAGTGCACAACACAAAAAGCCTATGTTTTTAACTGGACCAGTTTATGGGTTGGAAGACTCGAACAAGAATGGCCCACCTTTAGAAGACATGTGGGCTAAGTGGCTTGGTGGGTTTGAGGAAGCAGGGTCGGTGGTGTTTTGTGCATTTGGGACTCAGTTGATACTTGAGAAGGACCAATTCCAAGAGCTTGTGCTGGGGTTTGAGCTAACTGGGCTGCCCTTTTTCGTGGTTCTCAAACCACCTGTGGGCTGTGCTACGAAGAGGCATTGCCAGATGGGTTTGAAGAAAGGGTAAAAGGGAGAGGGGTGGTGTTTGGGGGTTGGGTGCAGCAGACAACCATTTTGAGCCACCCATCAGTTGGGTGCTTTGTGAGCCATTGTGGGTTTGGATCCATGTGGGAGTCTTTGTTGAGTGACAAGCAGATTGTGCTGGTTCCGAACTTGTGTGACCAGATCATGAACACTAAGATACTGGTGAAAGAGCTCAAGGTTGCTGTGGAGGTAGAGAGAGAAGAAAATGGATGGTTTTCAAAGGAGAGCTTGAGCAAAACCATTACAACTGTGATGGATAAGAAAAATGAGTTGGGTATTTCTCTAAAGGAGAACCATGCGAAATGGAGGGGGATACTATCAGAGCCAGGGTTTAAAAGCGGTTATATTGATAGGTTTATCTAGAATCTAAAAGAGCTTTGTAAGGTTGTAAATTAGCTTTAGCCCCTTAACCAAGAAATCTCATGATTTTGGTCTTTTCAATCTCATATTGTTGCTATGTGTTGTAATATAAGTAAATAGGGTGAATTTAAATTATGTAGTACTGATATATTGATGTTTGTGCATGATTCATGATCGTTTAACTATTTCAAATGTCCTTTCAAAATTGTTTCTTTTTGTTTTTTTAATTAAAGGTTATGTTTAATTTTCTGTCAAGTGGGTTGTCTAAATCTTTGTGAGGTTTAATTGGTAACATATTTTAGAAAGAAAAAGTGACTGTGAAGTGTTAGTAACAAAACTACAGAATTTGCATCTACTAAGTATGAAAAAATGAATGAAAGAATAGCATCCAAATGTGCTAATTACAGGGAGATTAGCTCCTCAAGGAGTCAAAACTCCAAAAGGAACTTGCAGAAAAGTTTAGACCTACCAAGCCAATAACTATTAATTTCATTTTTCACATCTAAATTCCACTACGGCACAAAACTTTGCCGCAGGGTAAGCAAATCCAAGCTGCGAAATGATCAAATCAATGAAAAGGCAGCTTGCTCATTACTATCAACTCCATAAGTGAACAGAGGAACAGAGTCTCGAATTTGCAGTGAAAAGAAACATCCTTCACAGGATCCATATGAACCAGTACACCATCTCTGAAAATAAAGTTTGACTCAAACCGGGGATGAGTATTCGGAAAGCATTTACTTATTTGTTATGGTGCTATCGCTGATGGTGTGGCATTTACATTCCACTGGCAAAAGACTTATTTCCTGAAGTTTTGCATTGGCATGTAATTGTTTCTGGCCATTCAAACCTCTCACTATTTCCGTCTCTCAATTTATCATCCAATGAGTTGCTGAAACCTCCACAAACATTCATTCTTCTAACTGCTGCAAGAACATCCACAGACACTGATGCAACAATATCATAGGCATCCTCTGCAGTCCATAGGCTCCTATTGGATCCCCATTTGTGAATAAGAATTTTCTGTGTCAAACTGTAGAGGATATCTAGACATGTAGGGCAACAACAATACAAGCATAAAACCCCAGACTCGCTAGTGAGACTTGTTTTGCCCGAGAAGTCGACATCCATAATATGCTCATCAGCGTCACACTTACCATCATTCTGTCCAATACCAGCATCGGACAAACCATTAAGCTCATTGCAGACGGTACTAGAGCTAGAGAGCTTAATGAGGCCAAATTCATCATAAGTTCAACCATCCTCCGAAATGACAACAGATTCAGTATTCAAATCCATTTGAATGTTTCAAGGATCCAGCATCTCCATTCACAACTACATGGTTTTTGTCATTTTCTGGCTCACGTGGTTTAGGGCTTGTCACATATTTTTTTTTTTTTGGACATCAGCTTGTCACATTCTGGTCATTCAAAATTTCATCTGAATCAAGAAGAGATTTATCCAGAGTAGAGTTCGTTAGGACGCTTTTCTGTCCAGACAAATCAGAAATTTCAAGTCCACCTACAGAATTAGGATGACCCAAATCACCATCTTCTTCATTTAAGTAAACACTACAGACTTTTTCATTATCAAACCTTGAGGGCCAATTTCTGGCACTTCAAGCCCATCGGAGCATTTGCTAGTACCATTTGGCTTGGGTTCCTCCCTTTGAACTTGATCGTTCACATGGTGATCATCTGGAGGTCTCACATCGGTTAGCTTAAATAGCATTTGCCATTTTCATTGGAGCATCCAACTCTAAACTGAAATGGGAGCAATTGTTGTTAGATAACAACCCATGAAAAGAAAAATAAAATTAAATAAAAAGAAGAAAATTCCACAAGCACACTAATGGCAGCATAAGCATTTACCCGTGCAGCAAGCATGCCCAGCTATTAACCATGTCTCCCATATAGGCCACTTGCAATAAAAGGCGAACATATTGATAGCTATCTTTCCCAGCCTGGATCTTTGCATTGATCTGTAAAACTAGAAGCTCAAGAACCTTCCGTATTTCAAAGGAGACTTCTCTGAGTGATGTGTAGAAACCTCTGTATGCCGACAAACTGACAGCAATCAGGCCTCTAACTAGAACAAATTTTTCTTTGCTTTTAATGTTGCTGGAGCTACAACCAACAGCCACCTTTTCAATTGAGTTAGGACGAACTATACAAGAATTGAATGGCCAGCACTTCAAGGTCAACTATGTCCACAGAGGAACCTTCTTTGAATTCTGAAGTAAACCAACAAAGCTCAACAAAATGAGGATATTGCAGAATCTGATATCCAAATGTACATATTGCTAGCAGCAAGCTCGATTTCCCCTTCACAGTTCTACTGTTAGTATCAGGACCCTGTTTTACAGTGTTGTTTTCATCAGCTGATCCATGATCTAGACTGTGATTAACCATCTCTGATTGATCTTTTCTGGTACCACAAGTTTTATACTCCTGGCAAGAGCTTGTATGGATGTGGGACGTTTGATGAATTAACAGAACAACCTGTTGAACCATATCCTTTAATAACTCTTCTGCGGATAGATTGATCCCCAAATCATGGTTGAAATCTCGATTGACCTGCACAAGAAATCAGGGAACTGTATGCTTCACAGGAATTGACTGATCTTGAAGAACTGCCTTATTCTAACTGGTAGTACTGGATCTGCAACTTCTGATGTAGCCTGTTGGAAAATAAACAGCATTACAAGCTAATATTGACGTGCATTCCATATATTTAATATAAAAAGAAAATAACATTGACATTTTTTTTTTTTCTTCATACAAAACAGAAATATCATCAAGCATAGTTTGCACCAGCACAAATGGAGGCAATAAAGTTTAGAAAAATAGCCAGGAGGAGACGGAGGTTTCAAGCAAAATACACCTGTAGCTTCATTCCCCTCTTCCCCATTACCAAAAATAGCCCAGGAAGGACCATTTCATCAGTAAATGCCCCCAATTTATTATAAATTGAAAAAAAGATGAGATTGCTCCTATGAAATGGTGAAAAATAATTTTACAAGAAGTTACTAAGAACTTACTGTCGACAGAGCAAGGATGAAAATATCAGCGATACAGATATTATCAGGCCTTCAATTTACGGATATTTCGGGGGATATATCGATGTCGTTTTAGGTATCGGGGAAAATCGACAAAAGAGACAGATATTGGCTTTAAAACATGGAATTTTGAAGTGAAACTTTCATAGATATTAAGCACATTATCAATGAATGTCTTGAACAAATAAAATTCAAAATATACTGAGTATAAGATATGCATATGATGAAATTTACATGTATATAGTGTGCGATGAAAATCCTGAAAATAAATACAATTAGACTTAACAAAACAAAGACAACATTATTCAAACATAACCCAACCCAATCCAACCGATTAATACATAACCCAACATTATATTACAAGAGTTAGACTTAATGATAAAGGAAATGAGAGGTAGAAGATTAGGCGAAAAATAAAATCAAACACACAAGAAACCGAGCAACCAGAGAGAGGAGGGGAAGAGCCAAAGATAGCTGAAATGACTGAGGAGAGAAGAAAGGAGAAGCTACTAAGTATTAGAGCTTGGTTTTTGACATTGATTCAGTGGTTGGGACCTATGATTACTTTCAAAACTGAAGACATATCTCTGGGTTATTTGTCTGGTATCGGGAAATATCGGCAAATATCAAGGATATCGGGGGTTATCGAGGATATATCGCCGATAAGGGGGAAGAAATAGACTTACCCCATGTATCTGTATCACCGTCTAAAAAAGGGATATATTGGCCGATATATCGGGATATCGGCCGATATTTTCCTCCTTGGTTCCAAGTACCAATCACATGT